AGTAGAGCCAGGGAGGTGATCCTCCCCCTCTATGTGATGCTGGTCAGGCCACAGCTGGAGAACTGTGTCCAGTTCTGTGTGCCCCATTTCAGGAGGGATGTGGACAACATTGAGAGGGTCCAGAGGAGGGCCACCCGCATGATCTGGGGACAACAGGGCAAACCCTACAATGAAAGACTGTGGGACCTAAACCTGTTCAGCCTTCACAAGAGAAGGCTGAGGGGGGACCTGGTGACTGTCTATAAACTCACTAGGGGAGACCAGAAGGGTTTGGGGGAGACACTGTTTCCCCTAGCGTCCCCTGGCATGGCAAGGAACAATGGACACAAATTACTAGAGAGTAGGTTTAGATTAGACATCTGCAAGAACTACTTTACTGTCAGGGCGGCTAGGAGCTGGAACCAGCTTCCAAGGGAAGTGGTGCTGGCTCCTACCCTGGGGATCTTTAAGAAGAGGCTTGATGCCTACCTGGCTGGACTCATTTGAGTCCAGTTTTTCTCCCGCCCAGGTGGGGGGTCAGACTTGAAGATCTATGGTCCCTTCCGACCCTACTTCTATGATTCTATGATTCTATGATCACAGGAGATCAAAGCCAGGGACCTTGTGCTTTGGATCTATCACAAGATGTTTATGTGGGACTTCCTGTGAATGCCATTAGGTTTTCCAAGCTTTACCAGGGTTGTAGGTTAAGCACATGGATTCAGAAGGGCTTGCACAACTTTAGGCAATGGTGAAGGGAATTTTGAGGTCTTGGTGGATGCATAGATGTTTGTTTTCCTTAATTTGTTGGGTTTCCCATCAAGTTGCTGCCTCATGACAAATGGGTGGAGGAATGATGTGTGGCAGCATGGGAAGACAAGGTGTTGGGCCAACTTTAATATATATTATATTAAAGTTTCTTCAGTTAATTTACACTTGTTTTTGTAGTTCTGGAGTGGTTATAGCTAGAAATATCACAAGAGATTAGAAACAGATATAACCCCCAATTGCACTAGAGGTATATTCAGAAAGATGCTGCAACTGTGCAAGAATCCATCCACGTCAAGCCAGTTGCAGGATCTGAGCAATACAAAGCAATTTTTTTCTGGCCCTGCAGTCTGTGAAAGGCATTACAGAGGAACAAATGAGGCTGTGATGATAGCATTCAGACCATTGCTATTTTGATCCCAAAAAGAGAGAGAGTTAGATTCAAAGAAAATAGGGTGTTTCCTCTTCTGACAGGAATATTCCAAGGCAAGGGCAAGAAGATAATGAAGCGTATTCTGCATGACTGTCTGTTCACTCATCATTAACCCAGCAATGATCACTACACACCTTCCCCCTTACAAGCTGTTCCTGCTTCTCACAATAGAATATTGCACCTGGAGTTCTTTGCAGCCAAAATAAGGGGTATATTAGTAATGCAGAATATATACATCGGTTCATCTGAGGAGTAATTATACCACTGTACCTATAATTGCCATATCTTGGCTTGTATTCTGGTTTACAAAGAGAAGATCCAGTGCTACCCATGGAAATCAGGATTACTTATGTGAATAATGTTTATCAGATATATTTATAAGAACCAGCCCAAAGTACTGGATACAAGATTTCGCCCCCTTAATCACAATGAATGATATCTTACCATCCATCCACATCCTTTCACAGCAACTAATGAAGTGAGCTTTGTCCCACAAAAGCTTGTGAGGTGTGTGTATGTGGGGGGGGGGGTATGTATGTGTGCACATTCATACTTTGGTTAATATATAACGTGCAAATCTACCCTGCCTTTTACTATCCAGCTGCACTAGATGCATCTTATAGTACTATGTTCTCATCTGAAAACTTTTAAAATCAACTTCATTTTATAGGATTAGGCTCCAAGTGCTCAGTTTTTTTCAGAAATTTATTCAGTTTCATGATAGATATATTCTTTAAACCTCAAATGTAGTTACAAATAAAATCACTTTGAAAAAATATGCATATGGTGCAGAACAGATTCTTGTAGTCAGGTTCATTTGTCACAGTCTCTCAGTACAGAAAGTAAGCTAGTACACATGGATGCAAAAACCAGAGGTAAACCCACTCCATTTAAACCCATTCATCAATTGCTCTGCATTTTGGAATTAAATGTTTTCACTCTCAAGGCACAGTCTAACTTTGCCCTAGATTATGAACAAGGATTAAAGTATTATTTTATAAGAAGATAAACAAGTATACTCTCTTATGGAAACAGATTTTTGTCATCAGCCATTAACTCCTGCAATCACATAAGTATTTCCAATATTTTATATTTGTTCCCAGTCACTGGCAGCTGGGATCCTTTTTTCAACCAGAACACTACCATATTATTTAATGGAGTGAGATCTTCACAATTACATTTTAAAATAAAATTTTATTTCCCATTTTCTGTGCTAAACCGTCCATTATTTTCTTCAGGTTTCCACTTCTGACCCAACCAATTACTTTTATTTGGGGGTCCTGTGTCATATATACCAAGTAGCAAGTGCCATAAAAACATCTGCTTTTCCCATTTTCTTCTCCTTTCCATTATTTCCACACTGCAGCTTTTTCTTTCTGAGTAGAATTTAGGATTTCTTCTTTATTGTTTCCTCAAGAAATAGGATGAAACCAAAACCCCGTATCTATTTTACCCCTGAAACCACATTGGGACTCAAATAGAAACTCCAGCCAGAGGAGTGAGTCTATCGAGTGGAGTGTGGGCAAAGATCTTCCCAGCTATGGACAGGAGCGTAATGCGATGGTAATTGCTGCACTCCAGTCTATCTCCTTTCTCAAATATAGTTATGATTCTGGCGTTTTTCAACTCACCGGCAATCTGTTCATGTTTCTAGATTTTCAGAATAATGGCATGCAGTTAGTGAGAGAGGTTTTTCCACCATACTTATGAGTTTCAGCTGGTATTTCATCAGCACCACATTTTGTTCTTCATCAGCTCTGTGGTTTTCAAAGCATGTTGATAGGTTGGTGGGTCTTCAGGGTAGTCATTAATAGGGTGTTGTTGAATGGCTTTGATGGTGTTATCTTCAATATCACAATCTCAGTTCAGGGGCTCTTGAAAGTGTTTCTTCCACAGTACTTTGATGGTGGAGCTGTCTTTAAACAATGTTATTCTATCCTTAGACTACTGAGGCATGACTCCTTGTGTACTTGGCCCATAGATAGCTCTGGTTGCACTGAAAAACTATGCATAAACTAAGTCAGCAAACTTTTGGATCTCTTTTGCTTTGTCCTCCCACCAACATTTCTTATACTTCCAATTCTTCCTCTGGACCTCTATTTTAATTTGCCAGTGTGTCTCACTCATATTTTGAGTTGCTAGCATTCTAGCAAGCTTTGAAGACTCTTTGTTTTCTGTCAATGCAAGCTTGAATTTCTTTATCATTCTCATCAAACCAGTCTTGATGTTTCTTTGTGGAGAAGCCTAGAGCTTCTTCACGTGCCTCATAGATTTCTTTCTTAAGGCTCTCCCAGTGGTGATACAGAGTCAAGATCATCAGGGACTAGGGACAGACATCCAAAAAACCTGGAGCCTGAATTGATTCAATCTTTGTAGGTTAGTCTAACCTGCCTAGGTTGAACTTATTTGTAACAGCACAGACGTTCCCAGTGGACTGAGGACCTACAGGCATATGCTTGCAGTTGCTCAGGCCAGGCACCAGGGAAGCTGTGCTGTGGGGGCGTGGCCAGCCTGGGCTGAACAGGCCAGAGAGGGGTTTAATTCCCCTGTCCCTGTCTCACCAGCAGGGACCCAAGCTGGGTCTGCCGGGTGCTCCCCCATCACTGCTGCAGCAGTGGGCCACCATGGCCCCTGAGGCACATAGGGCAGGAAGGGGGGTTATTCTTCCCTCTACCCCCACTACCCCCAGGGGACCACAGGTGGTCTGCTGACCTCTACCACCACCGCTCGCTCCTGGCTTGGGACAAGGAGCAGAATAAGCCCCCTCCATTGGATGATGGAGGGAGGGGAAATAATCCCTGGCCCCTGCCTAAGGGCCCCTGCCAGCTGGCATCTGGCCATGACCCCACCCGGCAGCTGCAGTGGCAGGGGGGCAGGGCCCTTGATGGGGGCAGCAGCCCCATCATAGTGTCTGGGAGCATGAGCCCCTTCCCAGTGGTGGGAGGGGGCCCACTGTGGGGCAGGCAGTGCTGCAGCAGACTGCATGCAGCAGCACTGGGGCTTGGAGGAGGCCAGAGTCCTGTAAGCTGTTGCCACCACCACTGCGGTCCACAGCAGCTTTCCTTGCCCCACAGTGTTCCCCCCCTCCTGCCAGGAAGGGATTTGCACTCGGGGAAACCATGAGATGGACTGCTGTCCCTGGCATGGTCACTCCCCCCTCACCACTCCAGTGGCCAGGCAGGGGCAGGGCCAGATGCTGGCAAGCAGGGCTCCTTGAGTGGGTGTCAGAGAGCGGGGTTATTCCCCACTCTACCCCCAGGGCACTGCAGTGGAGTTTGCCTGCCCTAGCCACGGCCACTGCCACTGCCACTTGCCCTGTGCCTGGTACAAGCAGTGGAATAAAACCCTTCCTGCCCCACTCCCTCTGACATCTGGTGGAGGGGGCTTATTCCACTGCTTGCCCTGGGCACAGAGCAAGCAGCAGCTGGGGTGGGCAGACCCTGCTACAGTGCCCCAGAGGAATAACCCCTCTCTCTGGCCTCACCTAAGGGGCCTGGCAGATGGGGATTTGGCCCCACACCTGCCCCCACCCAGCTCCTAGAGCAGGGAGCAACAGTGATGGGGCACCTGTCACAGTTTCCCTGAGTGTTTGTCCCTTCCCAGTTGGGGGCCCTGCTGCAGGGCAGGGAAAGCTGCTGTGAACTGCAGTGGTGGTGGCTTGCCAGACTCTGGCCCCCTCCAAGCCCTGGTGCTGCTGTGCACAGTCAGCCACAGCTCTGCAGTGGCCCCCCCCCACTGGGAAGGGTCTTGCACTCCCAGACTCTATGACAGGGGCTGCTGCCCCCATCAAGGGCCCTGCCCCCTCACTGCTACAGCAGCTGGGCAGAGGAGTGGTCAGATGCCAGTCAGCAGAGCCCCTTAGGTGGGGGGCAGGAACGGGGGTTATTCCACTTCCCTTCTGCAGAGGGGGCTTATTCTGCTGCTTGTCCCAAGCAGGGAGCAAGCGGCAACAATGGCAGCTGGGATGGGCAGACCTGGCTGCAGTCCTCCAGAGGCAATGGGGGCAGAGGTGGGAATAAACCTCCGCTCCCTGCCCCCTCTGCCTCAGAAGCCATGGTGGCCTGCTGCTGCAGCAGCAAGGGGGGAGCTCTTGATAGACCTGGCTCAGGTTCTTGGCGATAGGACAGGCAGGGGGGACCCTGTTTGGCTGGGGAGCAGAGGGGCAGGGCCAGCCCTACTCTGCTAGAGCTGAGAGTCCAGCCTAGAGAGCATGTAGGGGGACTTTGGTTTAAGTTAAATCAGGAAGGGGTGTGGGACAGCATTGCAAAAACCAGTTTGATCCAAATCAGTTAAGTCTGATACTACATTCAACCAAGTTCATCTCAAACCAGTTTCAGCCATTTTCAAACTGGTTTATGTGCATTGAGCATCTGTTCTGTTACAGGTTTAAACCAGTTTCTGATCACTTAAACCAGTTTATGTGTAATGTCTGTCCTGAGCCATAAACCTGCCTGGTTTCACATCGGCAGGGATCACATTGCACCCTTCAAAGAAAGGAGGATAAGGAAATGCATTCTATACCCTCTGAATTGTTGTGACTTTTGAATTATACTTGAGTTATATTTTTAGAAGTTTCCCCTGGATTTTTCCTGGTACTCTGAATTACTAAACGACACAACCTCTCCTTAAGACATCTTGTTTTGCAAGATGTCTTTCACACATGCTAAAACAAATTGCTTTATATACATAAGTTTACTTCACAGATCAGTAGTTAATATATACAGCATTATGTCACATGGTGTCATATGACACAATGGGAAAAGGAGCTAGTACAAGGTTTGAAGGGCTAAATTTTTCATTTGACTCTACTGCTGTTAATTTACCTTTTTATAATTGGCATTATATTTAAATGGAGTGTGCTAATCATTATTTTAATCTTTCCAAAATTTGTTTGACCTTTTCACTTAGACAAAACTTTCGTACCAAATGTATCAAGGTAGTTAAATCCCATGCACTGCTTAATACCTTAGGAAGCATCTATTTATTTTCTATTTATAGTCACCACTATGGATAATATGTGCTTTGTGGGGGGTTCATATTTTATTTTTTGTACAAATAGTCCTAGCAGTAGATTTGGTACCTCTATAAAAAAAGAATCCCTTTCAGAGTTACATTTTAGAACGTAAATCAGTTGCGATATATATGTTCTAGTTTACACGTTCAGTCATGTTGTGTGTGAATTTTAATTACCTGCCAATCTGTGCACTGAAGCTTTTTCTTTTCTCTCCTTCTCATTTAATCTTTCAGTCATTTGTGAAGGATTATATGATCTCTATCACAAGACTTCTGCTGGGACTTGATACCACACCAGGATCTGGGTTTCTTTGTTCTGTAAGTTAAAAAAAATCAGATGATTACAAAGTGCCATAGAAGGTTCTGTACCCTCCACAAAATACCGCTGCTTTCTTTGTACTGTCATTTCTTTTATTACAGTCCAAAAAAAGACTCCATCTGTTTCCCTTTTCTTCAGAAAATTAGTTAGGAAAAATAGGTGGAAATTTTCAACACTTCTGTCTAATTGCAAAGCAAAAAGCAAACTTCCTATATGATTCTAGAAACTGTGAAGAAGTGGAGAAGTTATGCTAGTTTCTGGCATTTAAATAATGGTTTTGGAGAAAAAAATTATATTTTTCCTATAATATTTTTTTACGTGAATTAACAAATGAAACTGCCTACCTTCATAGAAATTATTAGTTATAGTGAGGCAACATTTGATTAGGACTTATCTAACCTACTCACTCAGAATCACAGGATCATAGGAAAGTATGTCTGGCAGGGACTTCACAAGATAATCTAGTCCAAATACATTTGTACTAGGTGCAGAATCATGGCAAAATTAGGACATAGGTATCAGATAAAGATGGTGGCAACTGGTTAGATGATTTTAGGGTACAGTGGGTATGTCTACCCATCACCATATGAGCTGTAATTGTGCTGGACTGTCACTGCACTGTGCGCACTGCACATGGGTAAATTTCCCAACTACATTGCTATAGTGGTGCGCTATAGCCAGAGAGTGTGCTACTATGGCAATGTAGCTGGCGATCACATGTAGACAAATGTGATCTCTATGTTGCCATAGGGTGATGTGTAGACACACCCAATATCTCCAACATTTAAAAATGTCAGAAATGTATATACTTCAGTACGCTTAATCCAACTTATCTTGAGTAACAAAGCAAGTCACTTGGACTAGTATCTGTTTCTAAAATACTGAGAGTTTTGTACAGAGGGGTTTGATATATAAAGGGAAAACTAAATTCATTGGTACAGGTGCTTTGTAAATATTGTACTGTATTCACCTCAACTCAAAAATGAAAAGTAAAAGACACTAAACAACATGAATAAACTGTGAGATGTATCTGGAAATGTTGAGCTATCTGGGAGACTAAAGGTTTGATCCAAAGGCTGCTGACATCGACAGGCTTTGGATCAGACCTACAGGGAACAAATACCATAAGCAATTATTCATATGAAACATCCCATTATACTAATATTATTTATGTGACCATGATTCTTTCAGAAGTTTGTTTAAAATATTTTAAATATTTAACAATGTACTTTTTGTGCCAGTTGCTATACTGTGGCAAGATACTGTAGCAAGGTGTTTGAGTGTGTCTTACACAGCATGCACACAGTATAGGTCTCTAGTGCCTTCCTTTTGTAAATGAGGCTAATGCAGTAGTCATACGAGCATTTTCACATCCATTTCTTACATTATTCACATGCACTATGCAGCTTTTATTTTTAAATATTCAGGCTACTGCACTAACTGATAAATACCGAGTCTCAACATAAAATAGTCCTTGAATTTCTCAGTCTTTCCATGACCTCTTGTTTGTACTGCCAGCCATTTCACTTTGCCATCAGCTCCTTGCAATAGCATTGGATATGAGGTGCCAAATAGAGAGGCCCTCTTTTAAAGGTCCACCTATTTGCTTGAAGTATTACACAGGAAAGGAAAGAACAAAAATAAATGAGAGAGAGAATAAATGGAAACACTGGGAGAAAGGTAGAATACTAATATATAAGTAAGTGTGAGACTAAACCCTTGATGCTTTTGAACAGTCCTATGCTAAATAAGAGACACAATTATTTGGAAAAATAAGAAGCATATTTTTATTTTTTATTTTTCTAGATGAAAATCACAGAAGATGATCTCTGGATTAGGACATACGCCAGGTTATATCAAAAGCTTTGTTCTTCTTCAGGCGATATTCCCATTGGGATCTATAGAACTGAATCTCAGAAACTTACCACATCAGAGGTTTGTTTGGTTTAACATGCTTATTTTCTCATTTTGATAACAGAATATTAACTAGGATTTTGTACTGAAGGAACCCAACCTACTTTAATGCTAAGGTACTACTAATACTTGTAGTACAACAACTGTACACAAATATATTTGATAAGGTAGTCTGACAGTATAACACAATAAGTGTAACTTACTGCACTGATATAAGCTATTGTAACACTTGCTAGTAATTTTTGTTTTTCTTCCATTTCTTTCTCTCGCTAGCATGACTAGGGGATGTGTGAGGGATTCCTACAGGGACAGTGTCTTAAATCATATACATGAGAAGAGCTCAGGGTATTGAAGTGGAGGACAAGGATTATGCAATAGCATGTCGTATATGAACATACAGTTCGTGCTATTTAAAGACTGGTCTTAGTGCCTTGTTACACAGTAATTCTGGGTTGTAAACACATTAACACCTGATACTATTTAAAAGTGCCTGTTATGCAACTCAGAGTTACAGCACTCCACAGCAGGAATATCTCTTTTCTGTGCTCCCTAGCTTATATTATGCTACACTTTAGTGTAAATACTCCACCTGCCTCCTTCTCCCTCTGGCCTGGATTGGACCCATTGTTCTACTTCTCACCCTCCCTAGTGCTCCAGATTCCCATTCACTGCTTCCCTCATCTTCCTCCCCCTCTCCCTTCATTTACTTGTGGTTGTCTGTGTTGTCTGCCCTAGGGAGCAGGCAGAGAAGGGTTAACCTGCCTGCCCAACCATCTCCACTGCAGCAATCTGGGTCTGGCTCCCCGCAAAGAGCAGCAGCCTAGCGGTGGCAGCAGCAGCCAGGCAGGCAGGTTAACCCTTCCCCGCCTGCTCCTCGGCATAGGCAGCCAAAAGTAAGTGGGGGTTTAAACCAATATCAGCTGGTTTAAGACTCCACTGCAGGCTTAGAGCTGGGATCAGAAATCAGCTGATTGTCAGTCCCCATACTGCAGAGGAGTTAGTTCAAGACTCTCATGTGGTAGTGGGGGCTGGGACTAACAGTCTGCAGATTGTGGGTCCAGGCCCAATATGGCACCAAGGACGCTTGAAGGCTCTGGGAAGAGGATAACACTAATAGTCCTTGATCATAGTAAGCAACACTATGCAACTGCTCTGAACATATTCTAACTTTTAATACAGCATGGTAATGTTTACTATACTCAGGTAAAATCTGTGCTAAGTGTCCTGTGCTATAACGCTCTTATACTAGTGTCTAGCACAGAGAACAGTGTGTCTGGAGGTAGTTGTCTACAGTAGATGCTATTATGGTTAACCAACGCTAGGTGGCAGAAGAGCCAGGAAATAGCCTGTTTGTATTGAGCAAAACATTACTGTGGAGGGAAATCTAGGAGCTGTGGACATGTAACATATACAGTGGTGTAATTTACCCTAGTATAGTTATTCCTAAATTTCTAATGAGTAATTGCCTTAGAATGGAGTCACTTAAGTCAGGGGTGTATTCATTGTACAGCCCAGATATACAGAAGCATTAAGAAAGTCATATTTACACCAAATTTCAGTGAAAGTCCTAAAACAGATAAACCCTCAGAACACATTGTAAATCACATTGTTACAAGGGCTACTAGCAAAACAAACACTGTGAGGGTTTATATAAAGGAAGTAAAGCAGGTTTTGGGGGGTGAGGTTTATTACAGAAATTAATTCAAAGTTCTTGTTTTTGTTTTGCCAGTTCAATTTAAAAAGTGATCTGATTTTCATGACCTTGATGTAAGTGACCTTGATGTCAGTGGGGGTTATTTGGAGGGTGACACCTGGAATGTTCCAGCAAGCTTCATGGGCTTGAGGGTTGAGCAGCAGCTCTCGGCATACAATATGCCACATGGCTGCAAGCAGCAACGTTGAATACAGTGTACTTAAGTAAAGATCTAGGTTGCTACAGTCCAAATGGAGCCAGTCACATTATTATTGCCTGGCACTTTGTGTATGAAACAGCGGACAGGGATGCAGGTGGCCTGTTTGCCAATAGAAGTGGCTATTTCCGGAGAACTGTGCACAAACCACTCACAGTTGTGCAGTTTTATGTCTGCGTTCCTTTCTGGGATAATTCTGCTCTGGATTCAAGCAAACTCCACCAGTGTAAGAGTTAACAATCTCCTTTCTTACAATGGTATAAGCATATCATGTTTCTAAGCACAGACTCAATTAAAAGGTAACAAACTATGAAAAGTAACTCTTTGGCACAAGAGATGACCAGTCTGCAACCAAGAAGCCTTTTTATTTCTGTTTTAAAAAGTCCACAGGAATTATCACTGTACAAATAGATAGATTAAATAGAATAACTTGGCATTCTGTTATTCTCAGCTGCCAGTTGCCAACGTGGATAGTTGCAGAATTCTTGTTACATGACTGAAACATATGGTAATTAGAGGTGTTTTAATAAATATCTGTGCCAACAATTTGTGACAAAAGATAGAAAAGAAACTTCAGTAAAATTTTCACAAATAAACATTTCCATTTTCAATTAGCCTAAATTGATCTGTTGTTGTGCTCACATCTATTCAGTCCCAGGGTGGATTCTGGAGCCTAGAATCATATGCTAGGGCCTGGTCAATTTATTGTATGTAGGACAAGTTAACTACACTTCAAAAATGCAAATGTTTACACATTCAAGCAGAATGTGCTTAATGCTAATGTAGCATAGTAAAGTTAGGACTTTTGGGGCAAAGAGTGTCTCCAGACTGTGGTAAGTAAAGTATGTTGAGCTAATGTCTGATTTCTACACAGAGATAGAAAGGGTTACCATACGTCCAGGTTTCCCCACACATGCCCTCTTTTTTGGACCCTTGTGCTACATCTGGGCGGGTTTTTAAAATAACAGCATATGCCCGGGTTTTCTGCTCCCTGGGCCTGGCTGCTCCAAGCTGGGAGCAGCGAGCAAGGTGATTGGCTGTGTGGCAGGAAGCCACTTTTGTTTCTCCCCAAAATCTCTGCTCTGTGACAATTTGATTAGGACGGGCCCAGCAGAGGAGACACACCTTTACCCTTTCTCTTTAGGTAACCTGAGATGGACACATTCCTGAGGGAGCGGGGAAACCTGCTCCCTCTGCCTACGTGACTGGTATCACCTACGTGGGTGAGAGGCTTCTACCTGGTGGGCTAGAGTCTGCCCGGCAACTAGTGATATATTTCAAATTGGTTGGCCAACAGCCAACAGGTGCTGGCTTCCATTGGACCAGGTGAATGAGGTCACAAGGGCTTTATAAGTTAAGACTGCCCAGGAGGAGGGAGCTGCAGCCATGCGGTGGACTCAGACTTAGGGTGGAATTTTATCATCTGAAACTGGCTCTCTCCCTCATATCTCATGAGCTAGGAATGGCCTGCCTCCAGAGGGAATCTCCAACAGCCTCTGGATGATGCTTGTGAGTAAGCTACTCGAGATCTGATTAGATATATAGCTGGCAGTAACTCAGATGCGTGATCAAAAGGCTACCTCAGCCACACTGTTTTGCTCTATGGGATTTCTATGATATTGCTCTATCTTGTACTGTATTCTCACCCTACTGCCTGTAATCAATAAAGTTCTCCTTTGTGACCGGTATAGGAGATTTATTGAGGGATGGGTCTAAATTATGCCTAAGAGGCCCCTTAGGTCTGCAGACTAAGGGAGACTTTCCTTTTTGGCTCCCAACTTGGGGGAGTGCCCCAAGTGCTTGTACTGGGTCGAGTACCCATTGGACTATTAGGCCTGTGCTTCCCCAAGGACACAGGGCTGAGAGAGTCCCTTCCCGGGGTGGTGGCAGCACACGTTACCCTCGGACTCTGCGGTGGGGCTCGAGAGTGGGTCTGCCAGGGCTTAGGCACTCCTGGAAAGACATGTGGAGTCTGGAAGGTGGACGGGCATAGTGAGGTGGGAGGCTCAACACAGGAGCTCCCCCTACTGGCCTGCCACAGGCTGTTGGGGGCCACATGCTCCCTGCGCAGGCTCTGACAAGCCAGGCAAACAGAGATAGAGAGAGAGAGAGCGATCAATTTCACAATGCAGGAGCTGCTTGGGCAGCAGGGCTGGGGAGGCAGGGGTCTTCAGGTCGGGGGTGAGGGGCATCATCAGGGCTGGGGTGGCAGATGCTGAGGGTCCAGAGTGCAGGACACCAGCAGCACTGAGGGGCCAGGGGGCTGTGGGTCAGGAGTGAGAGGACCTGGCAGGGCAGGGGGCTGCAGGTCAGGAGTGAGGGGCACTGGTATGGCTGCAGGGGCAGGGGATGTAGGTCAGGAGTAGGGGCATGGTGGATTGGAG